AAATCCTTTGGTGAAGTGAGGATAGAACTGCCTCCACGCCATGAATTCACTCACTCCCAAGCAGAAAGTTGTAGTTTGCCCTTGAGGTAATCACCATGAACATGGTGGTCTAGTGATAGATCCCACAGTAATATCCACTAAGATTACTCCCAGAGTGTGGCCCATTTTGCCTTCATAGTTTGACAAGACCATATTGTGAGGCTTAAGGTCTGTATCAAACATTCCAATCCTTTTGAACATGAATTGTGACATCATGTTGACCGATGCCCCTTCGTCCACTAGGATCTTATTGATCCACATATTCTCCATTTTACCCCTTATGAATAGGGGTTTTAGAAGATTTTTCATGCCTTGATCTGGGCGTTTGAAGAATGCATTTTGTTCTTCGACTGCACCATTGTTCATGATGTAATAACATAATGGCATGTGTTTGCCCATTTCGACTTCACTAGCCTATTCATTTTCTTCAGCCTCAGTCTTTTGGTTGTACTCATGAGTTAGTACAAAAACCACATTACAATTTAGACCCAGAGGTAATTCTTCCTCTGAATCGAAGTTGTCAGTTAACATGTCTTCATCTTCTATTGGCCTTTCTTTCCTTCTTTCGTTGGTTTTCTCCCTACTAGCCTTTTCTCCTCAATTTTGTTTTGAGGAAGAAGCTGGTTGGTCTTAGATTCCCCCACGTCATTCTCAGCCATTTCTCTTCGTGCCTTCTTGATTCTATGATGCCTTCTCCACTAAGATCTCGACATTGGGTTTTCCCCTTGTAGTTCTCATACTTATAGGCCTTTTGTTTTGACACTTTAAATTCTTTCCTGTAGGCTATAGATGAGCCTCTTCCAAATTCAAAACTTCTCCACTTCTCTTGCCCTTGCCCCCTACTCTTAGCTGGCCTTTCACATCTATCAATTAGAGCATTGGCAGGTGGCTTGAAAGTTTCCCTTCAAATCACTTGAGGATAATGACTGTCTGGCCTTTAAGGGACTATTCATTTGTCAAACACAAACCCGCTCTTGGCATCTCTCCAATTGCTCCTTCTGTGAGGAATTTGAATCCTTTCGTAGTTCTCCGCAGCTTTTCTATCATATATTGCACTGCATCTGGGACACACCAGAGCCTCAGAGTGCTTCTTTTGGCAGCGAACAAGGAAGTCCAATAGGTTTTCTCCTGTTTTTGGGTACGCCACTTTCACCTGATCTTCTTCTCTTTGGATGCGCCTTTCAACATCATCCATCTCGAAATGCTGGCTCATCTCCACCATCTTCACTTTGAGGTTGGGACCATCAGTGATCTCGACTTCTTGGAATTTGATTCTGAGGCCTTCACTAGCCTTCTCTATTTCAGTATCTAGAGTAAAACCATCAGCAGTCTTACCCTTAGCATCTTTGTTGATGAGGCCTTCAGTAGCCTTCTTAGATTTGACACCTACAGAAAAATCCTCAGTGGTTGTATCCTCAGGGTCTTGTTTGATAGGGTGTTCAGTAACCTCCACCATGTTAATGTTTGTTGGTTCACCATAGTTGGTATCTTCTATCTGTAAAGGATCAGCGTCAACTTTCATCTTGATTTTTTCACCGAACCTCGGCCTTCCGTCTCTGACAGTGTTTTGAAGTAGGTCCCTGAAAATAAAACATTGTGAGGTTTTATGTCCTAAAAAATTATGATATTTGCAAAAACCTCTTTTCTTTCGTTGTTTTAACAGAGGAATTTTGGCTCCAGGTGGCACTATCATCTGACCATCCTTCACCAATAAATAAAAAATTTCATCACATTTCGTCATATTGAAAGTGTATGTTTTCTTAGGGAATTTATCATTCTTTTCTAGTTCGACATCATTCTTCCCATTTGATGGGGCTAAGACTTTACAAGAATAGAGTGGGCCTTGCTTTAATTCACCCAAGTCCACTTCTCCTTCTTCAAAGCCTATAGGGTCACTATAGATCTCTTGTTCATCTTCCTTGGCTTCGACATATGCAACCCTTTCCTTTTTATTATTTTTATTCGCCCTAGCCTTTTCAGCCCTCAGACGTTCCACTTGTCGAATTCGGTTCGCTAATTGGGCCATGTCCCTTAAGTATTGGGTGTCTAATTTCTTTCGAATGGAGTAATCTAAACCGCCTACGACCATTTATACCAACTCGTGTTCAGGAACTTGTGTAAAACACCTTGCCTTCAACAAGCATAACTTGTTTAAGTAATTATCAATTGGCTCAGTAAACTTTCTCTTGATATCGGCCAATTCTTTGAGACTAATCTTTGATTGTCCCATATAGAATTGCTCATGGAATAACCTCTCTAAGCGAGTCCAATCATGGATGAAATTCGCTGGGAGGGTGGTGAACCATGTAAAAATATTTTTAGTCAGTGAACTAGGGACGTATTTTATCCTTAAGTTTCATTATTTGCTATGTCCCCAGCCTCAGTAAGATATATGGTTATATGTTCGACCGTAGATTCGCTGGTGTCACCAGAGAATTTCATGAAATTTGGGATTTTCCAACCCCATGGTAATTCAGTTGTAAGACATATTAAGACAATGGGGAAGTATAGTTTGGCCTCTGAAGGCATACATTTACCCCGTTTCGAGCCATTATCCTTTCGACCATGGCTGCCAGATTATTTTCCCATACAAATTTGTCCTGATGTACTCGATGTAGGACTTCGTCTGCATCTTGGTTTCTATTAACCATTACTACCCTTGGGGCTTGAACTTCCCTTGGTATTTCTTGTTCGACCCTGGGTTGTTCAATTCTTTACCCCTAGTTAACTTCGCCAACATTCTGCGCAACTGGTTGCGCTTAGTTAACTTTTTTATTTTCTTCGAAAACCAGTCCCTGGTTTTCTCTTATCCACTCTCAATGGGGATGCTGAACTGGGGCTCGAGGGACGCCAAAGAAATTTGCAATTCACGTCAGTTACGCTGCAAATTGTTGATTCGTATGGGAATTCTGTTGATTTGTTTGAGTAGCACTTTGAATCAACGGGTTAAAAATCATGCCCATTTGTTGGGCTAAGACACCAATAATTTCATGATTGTTATCATCTATTTGTTGTCTAAATATCATTGTAGAATTCGACGTAAGGGTAGGTTATTAGGCAGCGAATCCTGGGGGGGTTGTTCGACCCATATTATTGACCCATGATCTTGATTCTTGCAGTGGTGAAAAAGTAGACACCCTTGGATCGTGAAATGTTGAAGTGCTATTGTTTAAACTTGCCATTATTGATGTTGGCATGTCATAAATTTGTTCACGGCCATTCATTGGCATTGAGAATCTAGACGCAAAATGCTTGAATTTATTTGTCTCTAGTTGTCCTGGGGTCACTGGCAGATCTTGTGTTTGTACTGGGGATAAAATTGGACCGCTTTAAGTATTGGTTGGCATTTTAGTCATACTCACTTGAACTGGTATTGATTTGGTTCCAAATATTGCAGTCGTACTCCCCCTATCGAAGAAGGGGTTGTTCTCCATTGTTGCTTTGTAAATTGACCATTCTTCTAACGAATTTTCTTTTGGGTATAACTTCGTTACTTTTGACTAATTTACCATTTCTTAATCTCATGCAACAACGTTACACAAACAAACTGAAACGAAAGAAAAGACAACACAAAACAAAATTTGTGACACAAAAACTAGACACTGATCCCACCAGGTGTGCCAATTTGTTTACCCTGAAATTTGATAAACAATCGTTAATCTTCCAAAACAAAGATATTTTCGTTATTCATAGGATCGACTAGATTGATCCTAAGACATGTGTTTAGTTTTTAGGTGTTTTGTGGTTTTCGAATGGTGATCTTTTCGAATGTAATGATTAATTGGTAAGTAATTGTGAAACTATGCGAAGTAACAATAGGAAAGTAAATAGATTTTGACTGGAATGTAAAGGGAATTAAAAGAACTTTGTAAAGATAAATTGACAATTGAATAAAGATACGTACATCCTCAGAAATTCTTTTCTCGGTAAATATTGGTGCTTTGAGTGAAATTGAGTATTTTTACAGAATTTAAACACACTAAAATTCTAACACTAAGATTCAAATTTATACTAATTCGACCATAACAGTCTTCTCCTAAAAGAATGTCACGTTCGATGTTTGCATGCCCATCGAATCCTTAGACTTCCACACATCCTTTTGGATAAGATCAAACCTTTTGAATTCAAAATCTTCTTCATTTCGAGGCGCCAAATCAACCAATGTGACTATCGAAGTATTCTTCTTCGAAACTTCAAATATCCTAAGTCTCACTTATTCACAAAAATAGGACTTTCGTCAATACTTTAGCAAGATTAGACTATCCATTAGTCTGTCAGTTGAAATCTTCATGAAATATTCATATATTTCTTTCAGAACTAACTCTCTTTCGACATTCTTCATTTTTCCTTAACATTTCCATGTTGTCGAAATTTCCAGCTAACACAACTTGGATGTTGTTTTATTGTCTCATAATCGCATACCACAAGCTAGGACAAAGCATATTGAACTTGATATATATTTTGTTAGAGAAAGAGTTATGGCACACAAGCTCGAGATTCAACATGTCTTTGCATCTGCTCAGCTGGCAAACACCATGACTAAGCTATGTATCTGCAGTACAGTTTATACTTCAATACCGATATACTCTAACATAATGTTGAACCCCGACTAAAGTAAACTATAATTACCCTTTTGCTTCAGGTGCCTACATGCCCATCCGAACCGAACCGAACCAGCATAATGACTAAAAAAACCGAAGTTCGGATGATGTTTTTCTATCCAGTCCTAATATCATCCTAATCATAATTTTTACAAGCACAAAAACTAATATAGAGAATATTCTACCAATCTTCTCTTTCTTTTCTTTTGACATATTTATAAAAATAACAAGAGATAAAAAAAAAATTGTTTAGATAATCACTTGTTTTTGGCCCCACTTGTAAACAACATGAAACAATATGAGCCACAATATCCATACTACTACAAACTTACCCATGGCCATATCCTGAACTCAGTAGAGATGAACTCACTGGCACCATATTCAGTTGGGACTTGCCTCACCTCTTTGCAACCCCAAAAACGTAACCATTCAATTTCAGTAACAGTAACATGTTCTATCCAAGTCCCACAACCACCACCAGTTCTTATACAAAAAGCGAATCAATTGAGCAGAAGAGACGCAATAGGCTTCTCCTTGAGTTTTGGCCTTTTTCATTCTCTATTACAACCAATAGTACCAACTGCAACAGCAGCTGCTGAAGTAGCTCCATGTGAATTAACAGTAGCTCCTTCAGGCCTTTCCTTTTGTGATAAAGTTGTAGGCACTGGTCCTCAGGCTGTTAAGGGACAGCTTATTAAGGTAACCATTTTTTTGGTCATTTGGTGGAACTGTTGTTCCCTTTGTCCTGTGTTTAACAGATATGTTATGTTATTATTGTCAGGCACATTATGTAGGGAGATTGGAGAATGGAAAAGTCTTCGACAGCAGTTACAATCGCGGCAAGCCACTTACATTTCGCATTGGTGTTGGAGAGGTATCATCATTGAGAGAATTGATTTTGCTATCTTAAAAGGGTAGCAACGCAACTTATTGCACCGTATATAATAGATTTTTATCATAAATAGGTTATCAAAGGATGGGATGTAGGCATTTTAGGAGATGATGGAATTCCTCCTATGTTTGCAGGTACTTGTTTTTTCAGTCATTTTGTTTTATGAATTATGATATGTTGAGGTGAAATTGTTTATTCTTTTCTTACATTAGGAGGTAAACGTACACTGAAACTTCCTCCAGAACTTGGATATGGTTCAAGGGGGGCTGGTTGTAAAGGAGGCAAGTACTCTCTTTTTTACTTTGCCATCAATATAAAAAAATTTCCATTTATTTGGGTGGAGAATAAAGATTAAATTTGTAGCTGGTTTTGATGCAGGTTCATGTGTCATTCCTCCTGATTCTGTACTCTTATTTGATGTGGAGTTTGTTAGCAAAGCATGAGTTACAATTCCATGGCAGTCAAAATACAATCCTTATCCTTGGAGATTGAAACTTGGATTATTATTTTTTTGCCTTTTAATTTACATGTTTGATGGCTGTGATATTGCAATCCAGCTATGAATTTACATGTTTGTGTTAGATCATACTGATAATGAACAAAAATCTGAGAAATAAAACTAGTATCATCAACCATATTGAATAGCATGGTCTTAGTTTAGTAGTCTATAAATTTACGGTGTCACTGATAGAAGGCCCACAAGAATCACTTTCGGGCACAAGCATTTTAAAGACTTTATTCTTAATTAATGTTTAATTTAGTATGTTTCTTTCTTTTTCTCTCTTTTCGGCATGATCCATTTTTAGATCCATTAGGGTTTTATTTTGGAGATGTATTTAAACTATTATTGTGGAACGAAGAGGTAGTAAATTTAACACAAATTATTTCTTTTTTTGCAATTAGTTTTTGTTTGTATTCTTTGTATGAACCCTAGATCTAGGATTAAATACTTGTTGAAATACCTCCCTATCAAATCGGTGCTTTCATCTTGAATTCGTGCCCCCCCAAACCACCAAACTCTAAAGACATTATAGAGGAAGTTGTCCAAACAGAACAACTTCATCTTAACAATGTTATGCAAGACAACCAGTTGCTCTTGGATGAGAGATTTGATAAAAACTCATGCGGATATGGAGCAACTTCATACTAGAATGGATAATGAAAAACAAGTTGCAGATTTTGAATATAAAAATATTATGGGTTTGTTCATAAAGTTAGCCTCTTAAATAGAAAAACTGTCTGTTGTTACTATTCTCGTAGCTATTGTTCACGTTGGTACTGTTCACGGCGATACTGTTCACGGCAGTACTGTTCATAATGCTACTATTAACTCAGCCAACTCTTCAAGTCTTACGAAAATCCCTTATCTCATCCATATGAATACAAACCTTCACTCTCCTCAATCCTCCCTAAATTTTACACCCCCCATGTCAACACCTCTTCATGCAACCGTCCTTTCTTACAACTTGCCACCACCACCCAATTTTACCTCAGTTCGAACTACATCCACACCATTCCATAGACTGTCTTCCATACAACCATACCTTGATTCCCCTTACTATACGTCACCACCTCTCTTTACTACAACCCAACCATTATCCATTCCCCAATTGCCCCATATTCCTTATTTCCAACATCCTCATATCCTACCACCTCCCACTTTCTGCACACCGAAACTCGAACTTGCAATGTTTGATGGACCAAATCTGTTAGAATGGTTGTTTCAAGCGGATCAATTCTTTACTTTCTATAATTTTTCCCCTGAAAACCGTTTAGCAATGATATCATTTTATATGAAAGGTGAAGCTCTCTGTTGGTTTAAGTGGATGTATCAAACCATCAACTAGTGGATTGGACATCTTTCACTAAAGCCTTAGAATTATATTTTGGTCCTTCTACATACACTAATCACCAAGTTGAGTTGTTCAAACTCAATTAAACTCATTCTGTTATGGAATACCAAGCTCAATTTGAAAAGTTGGGAAATCAGGTTATTGGCTTATCTCACAATGTTATCCTTAACTGTTTTATTTCGGGTTTGGCACCAGAAATTCAAAACGAAATTGCTATCCATAAGCCTATCTCCATATCTCAAGCCATTAGGCTTGCAAAGCTGATCAAATCCAAGATAAGGAATGTCAAGCCTAAATTTCACAAACCATTTTCACCTAACCCCACCATCTCCAACATACCAAGCCAAAAAACAACTAACCCCTAACCTATTCCCAAATTAGTCACCCCTGCCCAGCCAGCCAAACTACCTATTCGACGTCTATCCAATGTTCAATTACAAGAACGTCGTGCCCAAGGGTTAATGTTTTAATTGTGATGAGAAATTTATCCCTAGCCATAAATGTACTACTGACAACTTTCTCTTATTAGTGGAGGATGACAAAGATGTTAACACTTCAGATCCAGCAGAAAGTTGTGACGAGCTTAGTTTAAACCTGGAACAAAATGATACATATTTCCATATGTCTCCTCAAGCTGCCAATGGCCAATTCTCTCCTAAGACATTGAAATTTAAAGGATCCATCAATGGTCTATTTATCACTGTTCTAATTTATACGGGTAGTACCCACAATATTTTACAGCCGCATATCGCACACCATCTCAAACTGCCTACCAACCTAATCCCAAATTTTTCCGTCGTGGTTGATAATGGGTCAAGGTTATCTTGTTCGGAAATCTGGCCCAAAGTGCCTATTAAGCTACAAAACAATGTTTTTTTATCCCTTTTCACTTGCTTCCAATCGAAGGTGCAAATGTGGTTCTCGGCATGGAGTGGTTACGAACCCTAGGACCTTTAATGGCAGATTTCTAAATTCCTAAGATTTCTTTCACTTATAACAACAATGAAATCAGTATAACTGGTGACACCAAAACCCTTATCACCCCATCCTCTTACAATAATTTTTGTCTTACAATAATTTTTGCCATCTTTTACAAACGGATTCCATTGCCTCTATCCACCTTTTACTCTATCATCCCTCTAATGATCAAACCAACAGTTCTGAAATCACCATAAATACCCTTGGCACTCTTCCCAAAACACTTCCCCACCAAATATCTTCTATCATCAGATCCTATGCAACCATCTTTGACAAACCCCATGGTTTTCCCCCATCTAGACCCCATGACCATTGAATTCCTATCATTCCAAACACTACCCCTATTAATGTGAAACCGTATCGCTACCCCCATTCATAAAAAGACGCCATGACAACCATTATCCAAGACATGCTACATGAGGGTATTATCAAACCCAGTAACAGTCCTTACTCTTCTTCAATCTTGTTGGTTCTAAAAAAAGATGGCTCTTGGCATTTTTGCATCGATTATAGAGCACTCAACGCGGTTATAGTCCGTGATCGTTTCCCAATTCCGACTATAGATGAACTCTTTGATGAGTTGGGTTCAACAACTATTTTTCTAAGATTGACTTGTGTTCGGGTTACCACCAGATCTGGGTGACTTCGGAGGATACTCACAAAACTGCGTTTAGGACATTTGACAGGCACTACGAGTTTTTGGTGATGCCCTTCGGCCTAACTAATGCTCCTAGTTCTTTTCAATCTGCCATGAATGACTTGCTGCGACCATATTTAAGACAGTTTGTGTTAGTTTTGTTTGACAGCATTCTCATTTATAGTTCTTCAATTTCTGATCATGCCAAACATTTAAAATTGATTTTAGATTTATTGTTGGCTAATCAGTTTTATGCAAAATTGTCCAAGTGTGTTTTTGTTGTTCCTAGTGTTGATTATTTATGTCACATTATCTCAAGTGATGATATAACCCCAGATCCGGCAAAAATTAAAGTTATTCTAGATTGGTCGAGGCCATGTTCACTCACAGCACTCAAGGGTTTTTTAGGTCTCACTGGATTTTATAGAAGATTTGTGCGTCACTATGCAACACTCGATGCTCCTCTCAACGACTTATTGGGTTCCACTAAATTACATTGGAGTACAGAAGCAGAAAAAGCATTTACAACATGACAAACTAAAATGACTAAAACACCAGTCTTGTGCCTTCCAGATTTCTCTCTTCCTTTTATGCTGGAAACTGATGCGTCCGCAGTTGCTATTGGAGTTGTATTATCTCAGCAGGGACACCCCATCGCTTTCTTCAGCAAAAATATGTGCAAGCGCCTTCAAGCTTCTTCTGTCTATGTTTGAGAAATGTTCGCCATCACAGTGTCAAGAAATGGAGACAATACTTAATTGGAAGGAATTTTCACACACACACACACACACACACACACACACACACACACACACACACACACACACACACACACACACACACACACACATACACACACACATACACACATACACACACACACACACACACACACACACACACACACACACACACACACACACACACACACACACACACACACACACACACACACACACATACACACATACACACACACACACACACACACACACACACACACACACACACACACACACACACACACACACACACACACACACACACACACACACACACACACATATATATATATATATATATATATATATATATATATATATATATATATATATATATATATATATATATATATATATATATATATATATATATATATATATATATATATATATATATATATATATATATATATATATATATATATATATATATATATATATATATATATATATATATATATATATATATATACAGAAAAGCCTAAAGAACTTGTTGGTGCAAACCATACAAACTCCAAAACAACAAAAATGGGATGCTGAGTTGCATGGATTTCAGTTTGATATTCATTACAAACCTGGACGAGCTAATCAAGTCGCGGATGCCCTTAGCAGAATCCAACTTGAAGAGGAAGCTTGTCTCTTCTCAATCTCTTCCCATATTCCATTCATTGTGCAGCAGCTGAAAGCACATTATCTGTCAAATGAAAATGGAAAGTCACTTATACGCAAGGTTATAGACGATCCATTTATACAGCACAACTTTCAGCACAAGGAAGGCTTGGTTTATTATAAAGACAGAATCTATTTACCTGATATTCCAGATCTATGGAGTAATATCATCACAAAATATCATCCCACGCCTACAGGGGGTCACTCCGGCCTTCAACCCACTCTTGCTCGTATATCTTCTTCTTTCCTGTGGCCTAGAATTACAAGGACACAAAGGTTCATCGGATCTTGCACAGTTTGTCAACAAAATAAGTACATGACAAGAAAGAAACAGGGATTATTATAATCTCTACCTACACCTACTCAGGTTTGGAACGATTTGAGTATGGACTTCATTACTCACCTACCAAACTCTCATGGCAACACAATGATATGGGTTGTATGCGATAGATTAACAAAGTTTTCCCACTTCATTGATCTTCCCTCCCAATTCTATGCCAAGGACCTTGCCATCCGCTTCTCCGTAGAAATTTGTCGGTTGCACGGTGTCCCTCAATCTATTGTGTATGACAAAGACCTTATTTTCCTTAGTGCTTTATGGAAATAACTCTTTCATACACAGGGTACCACTCTGAAATACAGCTCTGCCTATCACCCTGAAACAGACGGTCAAACAGAGGTAGTTAACATATTCTTAGAAACATATTTGTGATGCTTTAGTAGTGATAA